ATCCTCGTGAGGGGTGTGCCGACATGGGCGGGGGGACGCATGCAGACCCTGCCACTGGGGCCTTCGGTGGAGCTCCCTGTGGGGCCACGATCCTCGTGAGGGGCGTGCCTGTCAGGGCTTAGAAACGCGCACCGCCACGGGGTCCCCTCGGGCTCCCGTGGCGTTGCGCGTTGCTCGGGGAGGGGGGAGCGACCAGCCCCCGAATGTGTCCTCGTGAACAACAGCAACAACAACAACAGCTGCAGCATCAACAGCAGTAGCAACAACAACAACAACAATAACAACAACACCAGCCATCATCATCATCATCATCATCATCATCATCATCATCATCATCATCATCATCATCATCATCATCATCATCAGCATCAGCATCAGCATCAGCATCGTCATCATCACCACCAACACCATCACCACCGCAACCACCACCATCACCACCACCATCAACATCATCATCATCAGCATCATCATTAGCAGCATCATCAGCATTATCATCAACAGCGTCATCATCATCACCATGATCATCATCAGCAGCAGCACCACCATCATCAGCATCAGCATCATCATCAGAATCATCATCATCACCATCATCATAATCATCATCGTCATCAGCATCATCATAATCATCATCAGCATCATTAGCATCATCATCAGCATCACCATCACCATCATCAGCAGCAGCATCATCATCAGCATCAACTTCATCATCATCTTCACCATCATCATCATCAACATCATCATCAGCATCATCATCATCAGCATCATCAGCATCATCATCAGCAGCAGTATCCCATGTTTGCTAGTCTTCTCCCTCCCCGCTTCGTCTCCCGCCTTCTCGTCCACCTCCACCTGCGCCTCCTCCTCCTCCTCCTCCTCTTTGACGCCCTCGTCCTCCTCCTCCTCCTTCTCCTCCTCCTTCTCCTCCTCCTCCTCCTCCACCTCCTCCTCCTCCCATTCCCCACATCTCCTTCCCCTTCTCACTCCCCATCCTCTTCCCCTTTCACTGATGATCCTCCTTCTTCTCCTCAACCTCCTCCCCCCCACCCCCGGGCCACCCCTGGCTGGCACGACGGCTAGACCAGCGCTCCCCGAATCGAAGCCACAACGGCGGGGGCCCAGAGAGGTGACGATGCTACAGTGGCCGCGATGGCGCCAGCGAAGCGCACACTGCGGCTGGCCCTGGAAGCCGTCGAAGCTGGGCTGCCCCAACGCTGTCCCCTTGCCCGTCGACTTTCCGCTCAGACTGGGCTGCCGCAGGAGCTGCGGTCGGCATGCTGTGCACTCTGGCCACCGGGAGAAGGAACAAATTGGGCGCTGCGCCGCCAGCTGGCTGCCGTCCGCTTCTTCTGGTCCTCGAGGGCCCAGGGGGCCTCGTCGCATCCCTCCTCGTCGAAGGGCTGTTCCGCTAAGCCCTTGTCCGGATGGCGAGCTCCTGTTTGCGATTTTGCTCCAAGCCTCGTCCGCGGAGGCCACGTCAATGACGCCCGCATCGAGCAGTCCATACAACAGCTGGTTTGCCCAGCTGTTTGACATTCGCAGCCGGCTCATCAACGCGGAGGATGTTGGCGTCGCATTCCTCGGCGAGGACGGACATGCCATGTACCCACAATGCCACATGCCATGCCATGCACCCGAAATGGTCGGAATAGTGGCGCACGCGATCTAGGCGCTGACAGCAAGATAAACAGCAAGAGTCATCTTAAGACGGTTCGCTCTTGTCGGCTCTCGTGTCATTCAACAGGTCTACCCCAAACCTTAGATTTCCGCCGTCTGCGTTTATGAACGCACACACCTTGGGGGGCTCCCTTTCCCACGGCTACCCTAATGGGCGGAACGGGCGGGCGGACCCTAACGGGCGGGTCGGTTGGGCGGGACCTCAAATCGGGCGGCGAGGAATCCCAAGGTGAGAGCGCAAATCCTTATTTGCGAGAGCGCGATGTCTCAGGAAATCGTCGGAACCCTAGGAGCCAGAGCGCATTCCCTGCGTAAGTTGTAAGTACGTCCAAGGCGTGAGCACTTTGAAAGAAAATCCAAGGCGTGAGCGCAAGGCCTGAAAGGTGAGAGGGGGATCACTTAGGTAGATTGTGAAGGGAATTCTTGGCGAGAGACCCATTCTTGAGCAATTTGGAAGAACACCGCGAGCGAAAATGCGATTCCTGAATACAAAATACAATGAGAGGGAATCTAAAGCAGGACCAATTGTTCTTGTAGCCAGGTGAACCTGGCTGCATGAGCCGAGAGGGGGACCTCAATTGAACAAACGGTGGGCGCCGGTGAGAGGATGAACCATGACAATTCTTCAGAAGCTAGAGTATACCCTGGCTGCGCGCGAATAACAAAGGCTGAGCCGAAATAGCTACGGCAACGCCACGCCGGCCTCCTTGTACTTCTCCTCCTCATCCTCCTTAATTTCCTCACAAGTACCTTAATTTCCTCACAAGTACCTCCTCGTCACCCCTTCTCCCCTTCTCCTCCTCCTCCTCCTCCTCCTCCTCCTCCTCCTCCTCCTCCTCCTCCTCCTCCTCCTGTGCGCACCATCAAGCGAGTTTGTACGGGGGGCCAGCACCAGGAGTTTCACCAGAGACTTCCTCCCTGCTTCTGTTCCTCAAGCTGGTGATTTCCAACAGTTGCACTTATGGAAGGGGAGCGTTTCAAATGCTGTTTACACGTCAGCACCAATCACACTCGTTTTTGTCTGTTTTTAATAAATTGCCCATTTTCAACATGTAGATCCCGCTCTAGCGCACCGCACCTGCGTCTTGAAAACCCATCACAGGCACGCGGATGAAGGGCTGAATTTTCAAGATGGGCTCTCGCATCAAGAGCTTCCAACCTTCACACGGCTGGAGAATAATTCGGTTCCGAGATGGGCATTCGGTAAGATGTACACAGAACTCCTGAAAGCAAGAAACGTAATTTGAGCAAAAACGTCAAGAATGGAGGACGCCCCCTTCTCAAAATGGGATCCCGAATGAAACTTCGGAACATGTATGACCAGCAACGCAAACACGTGCGAAGATTACGCGAACGGACGGCTGCATTTTTATAAAAAGTGGTTCTCGCTGGACGCTTCATTGAACCTTATGATCCTACCTCCTGGAGCGTCATCATGCCAGAACAACGGTGGATGGCGCATTTCTTTTAACAGGGCTCTGGCCTGAAAGGCCGGCAAGTGGGGCTCTCGTCTTTCGTGGAAGCGGCCGTGGAAGCGGCTCCCGCAATGGAAAGGAACGCGTGTAGCAACATATGAATGGGAGGCTCGGAACGGGAGGGTGACATGCAACATCTCGTTGACTTACTCGGGTCATTCGCCTCATCCTTACCCTAATCCTCTTCCTCCTCTGTATCGCCAGGGGGGGAAAGGCACCTCCCTATTGGCCCCCTGGTTCCAACAGCTCCCCGAGTTGGTGGCGCCGGATCCACCCGTCGGACTCCTCGTCGAAAGAGTCGAACAAGATGGTGGCCTGGGGGACAACAAAACTATAGCCAGAGCCCAGTATCCCCAAACAGCGCTTCTGAGCCTAGGTAGCTGCGAAGAGTGATCGCGCGTCCTCCTGCCTCTGATCCGCCTGCGACTCCGGCGTCGTCGACGTCGAGTGTTTCGTCGTCGTCGTTCGTCCTCCTCCTCCTCCTCCTCCTCCTCATCCTCCTCCTCCTCGTCCTCCTCCTCCTCCTCCTCCTCCTCCAGCTACCCTACCCCTTCCACTACACCACCTCCTCCTCCTCCTCCTCCTCCTTCTGCTGCTCGTCCTCCTCATCGTCATCATCACCGTCATCATCACCATCATCGTTATCAGCAGCAACATCATCACCACAATCCCCCTCTTTCTCCTCCTCCTCATCCTCCAGCTCCTCCTCCTCCTCCTCCGGCTTCTCCTCCTCCTCAAGCTCCTGCTCCACCTCCTCCTCCTCCTCCTCCTCCTCCTCTGCCTCCTCCTCCTCCTCCTCCTCCTCCTCCTCCTCCTCCTCCTCCTCCTCTGCCTCCTCTTCCTCCCCCTCTCCTCCTCCTCCTCCTCCTCCTCCTCGTCCTCCTCCTTCCTCGTCCTTCTTCCTCCTCCTCCGCCTCCTCCGCCTCCTCCTCCTCCTCCTCCTCCTCCTCATCCTCCTCCTCATCCTCATCATACTCTACCGCATCATCACACTCCTCCTGTTCATTTTCCCTCCTCCTGCTGCTGCTCCTCCTCCTCATCATCCTGCTCGCTGTGCGCCTCTTTGTATCCCTCGTACTCCTCCTCGTGGTCCTTGTCCTCCTCCGTTTTGCAGTGCTCCTCCTCCTCATCATCATCACCATCCTCAGCATCACCATCATCAGCATCATCAGCATCATCATCACCATCATCATCAGCATCGTCATCATCGTCATCATCCTCATCACCATCATCCTCCTTCTCTTCCTCTTCCGTCTCCTCCTCATCCTCTTCCTCCTCGTCATCCTCCTCCTCCTGCTCCTCCCCCTTCTCCTCCTCCTCACAATGCTTATCCTCCTCCTCCTTTTCATCCTCCTCCTCCTCCTCCTGCTCTTCCTCCTCCTCCTCCTTTTCCTGCTCCGTTTCCTTCTCCTTTTCATCTTCCTCCTCCTACTCCTTCTGCTTCTTATCCTCCTCCTCCTCCTCCTTCCTCCCCCTCCAAATCATAATCCTCCTCCTCGTCCTCCACCTACTACTACTAGTACTGCGACTACTACGATTACTACGACTACGACTACTACTACTACTACTACTACTACTACTACTACTACTACTACTACTACTACTACTACTACTACTACTACTACTACTACTACTACTACTACTACTACTACTACTACTACTACTACTACTACTACTACTACTACTACTACTACTACTACTACTATACTACTATACTACTACTACTTCTACTACTACTACTACTACTACTACTACTACTGTTACTACTACTATTACTACTACTACTACTACTACTACTACTACTACTACTACTACTACTACTACTACTACTACTACTACTACTACTACTAC